CAATTCCCCTTATCTATTTATATGTTTATGTGTTTTCCTTTCTTGGACCTGGATATATGGCCTTCAAGAATAGTAAATCTTACTAGTGTTAAAATACTGATAGCTGTCTTCCTCCTTCTAACAGAGTGGGCCATATGTGTGCCATTTGTCTCCCAAAATTGTCAGTTTTGAGGCAGGAGGAAAAGTTCTTTGCTATTCTAAATAAGGCTTGGAGGTTTGATCTCTTTGTGGTGTGAGTGACTTTTCTGTTGCATACTTGCTTGCGTGGATCAGTGAGACCGTCACTGGTTCATGCATTGGATATTCTCTCAGATATTTTTTAAAAAACTGTTTCTAGGCAGAGCAACAGTCTTATGTGGTACCTTTAACTTGAAAAAAATCATAGTAAAACGAGGACGGTTGGGTGTTTGACTGAAGCGGTCTCACTCCAAAACTTTTTCCCTCTGTGTCCTGCCCACATGCCTTGTCAATCACCACCCCTCAAGGAGTCATCCTCCCCCCTTTCCCCCTAGTGATGCCTCTGCTCTTTCCAGGGCTCTATCTCTCTCACCCCCCTTCCCCCCCAGTGATGCCTCTGGTCTTTCCAGGGCTCTGTCTCTCTCACCCCCACCCCACCTCAGACGGCTCAGTGTGGCACGGGAAGGGAGGCAGCTAATTGTGCCCCCTTCCCCCCCCGCTCATCGCTGGTCACCTGGCCCCTCCTCCTTCATTCATCTCAAGCCAGCAAACGGTTCTAAGAACCAACAGTACATTTAGGAACCGGTTCTATAGAATAGGTGAGAACCTGCTGAATCCCACCTCTGCTCTTCTCCTCCTCCTTGGAGGAAGGGTTAGTGACCTAGGAATTATTTTTTAGCAGGAGCACAGGTAACAGGTCTGCCTTTCCAACTCCCTTTGGAACCCCACACTGTTGTCTTAACATACACAGTAACCACCACCCTCTTTCCTCTCTGTCTGTTAATCCAGATTGGTTCTCCTTTCAGTCGATCATGTTCTTGGTGTTGCTAGGTGGAATAGGTGAGGGTTCCATCACACATCTTCCCTTCCATATATTAAGTAAATATGTATGTATGTATGTATGTATGTATGTATGTATGTGTGTGTGTGTGTATGTATGTATGTATGTGTGTGTGTGTGTGTGTGTGTGTGTGTGTGTGTGTGTGTGTATACCTTTATCATAACATTTACTTTTTACATATTTGCAATTTATATTTAACGTATTATTCTATCAAACATTCATATCAAAGAATACATTACATTATACATCTTTTTCATCATGATGTGTTACATAGAATCATAGAATAATAGAAAAATGAAGTTGGAAGGGGTCTATAAGGCCATCAAGTCCAACCCCCTGATCAATGCAGGAATACAAGCAAAGCATGTCTGCCAGGTGATTTTCTAAGTTTTTCTTGAATGCCTCCAGTGTTGGAGCACTCACCAACTCCTGAGGTAACTGGTTCCATTATATTACCTTTCAGACATTACAATCATTTTATATTAATATAATGTATAATAGTTATATTTAAATTCCAATCCATTTAACAATAGCTTATTATTAATACTATTTAATTATTTTACTTTTATTATCATTAGCCATTCCTAAATTGGTTTCTGTATAAAAAATCTGCTCAATATCCATCTCTTCTCCTCCTGAAGAATCTTCTATTACCACAACCTTGTCAACCTTTTTCCAACCAGCCACTGAACTCTAGGTTGAGGAAATCTGGAGCTTGTTATATATACAGTTCTTTTATATATATACAGTATATAACAAGCTTCCAAGGTGGCTTCCTTTGGAACAATAATCTTTCAGAGTAGGACAGATGAACTTTCCATTTCCTATGCTGAGATGAATCTCTCACCTTCTCTGAACACACATTGTTGTCTGTCTTTTCCTGGGCTCTCACTAATACTCTTTGTAGCTGGGTGAGTTTTCCGATATGTCAATAGATTTTCAGGATCTACATTCATTGGATTTACTGCTATTCTGAACATAGCATGTAGTTTAGTAATTTGTTCTCCCTGACGTTTTCTCATCTGCTTTTGATCTAACCACAGCTTCTCCTTCCTTCCTGTTTCTATCATGGTACTGCTTCTGTTTTGCATTAATTTTGAAGTAAGGTTTGTACTTAAACCAGGAACAAACTCAATCTGAAATCCTAATTTACTTCTGATGTTTACTAAGGCACTAGCCACTGGATTCTACTTTATTGCCCACTTCTCTGTTTGAATCTGACTGTGAATAAACTGTTGTTTTTATATCTATGAGTGTTGTTGTACTGATCCTTTCCATCAGCATTATTCATTAACATTTCTCATTTATCTGTTTTCTCTATCTCATCATCATCAGTTACAAATTTATTATTTATTTCTCTACACTCTAAACTTTTTACTTTGCAGTTTTTATTGTTCTGTTCATGAGGGTAAACATCTGTTTCCCTTTGTAACACTGCTTGCTCTTTATCACAATCCTTTTCTGCGCATTAGATTCACCACTACTATCTACTGATTTTTCCTTTAGTTTCCTCTCAGATCTATTATTCACCAATGCTACAGATGTCTTAAACATCTCAGAAGCATAGCTTTTCTCTTTTAATTTATTTCTACTTTTGTTTCTATCTAATTTTTCTCTTATTTGTCCAGATTTAATACATTTATTTTAATATAACTTATACTTATGAACACACTAGCCTTTCACCATATACTGTATTTTTCCATGTATAAGATGCTACTTTTCCCTAAAATCCTCAGACTAAAAATTGTCTTATACACGGAAGTAAGTGGAGGAGAAAACCATATGATTGTGAAACTGCCCGTGTCTCTGCAAGCAGTCTGCTTCTAGTCACGAGCAAAACTGCCAATAGCTTGTCTCTGCAAATAGGTTTCCTTCAATCATGAGCCTTATGTAAATGACATGAGCTGATGCAGAGGACAGCATGTAAGCAGTGTGAGAGTCACTGATAAAGATTACTAAGCCCATAAAGATATCAGAAAATAAAAAAGTAAGTAAGCAAATGTCTTCTGCTAAAATTCAAACTGAATGTAATCAGCTATGTAATGGTTCTGAATGAAGTAATTTGCTCAGCTAAGTATGATGCATAATATCATAGTACTGGTATGTAAATGTTGCCTAATTACTAAAAATGTGTGTAGAGAGCACGCTGAAGCCCCTACCAACTCAGGCCTCCAGGAGTGCTCACTCTTCTTCTTCAGTTGCTGCCACCAATTTTATCCAATATTTAAAAAAGACAAGTGTTGTTTCAAAACAAAAACTTGTTTAATGTTTTAACAAAAATAAAGTAAGTAAATCACAAGATGTTAATCAAGGTCTCTCACTCTCTGACACACACAGACTCTTCCCTCACTGACTATTTGGCTCACAGGCCCATAGACACACTCCTCACTCTCTCCCGAAATCTCTCTCTCTCTCCTTTTTACATCATACACCCCTTTATATATTCCAGCTCCTCCCCCTTCTGCACCACCTTCCGTCCCCTCATTGGCTGATGTTCCACTGCCCAGCTGTGACGGACAGGTGAGGGCAGGGCTGAATGCTACAATGTGTTCCTTTCTAATGTTTAAAATATTGATTTCTGAATTTTGGGTTACAAAATTGGGGGCAGCATTTTATAAATGGGGCATCTTATACATGGAAAAAAGATGGTCCTTTTACTAAAGCAGAAACTCCCTCTTCGCTTATTTTGGGTTCTGTCATTTTTATAATTGTCTGGTATGAACTAATTAGATTTAATTTCCTCTGACGTCTCCATTGAGACCACTGTTGGTGTTGTCCTCTCTGTCCATTATACAGTTGCTTTAAATTTTCTCTCTA